TTTCCGAAGGAATGGGAATGGAGTTAATAACCCAAAAGAGGGGGAGAGAATCTACGTTCGGGGATTGGTTATGCAAAGGTAAGGTATTAGCACCCTAAACATCTACGGTACTCCGCAGGAACCTCTTTGAAATTTTTTGTATTTTGGCTATAAATGTTGTACAAAAATAGATTGTGGGGATGAGAAAAGAAGTATATTTTTTATGATTTTTTCACCCGCGCGATTGTGAACCTTTAGTGCCTATGTACCACCTTCCGTGCAATAGGGGATCGGGGTAATCGTAGTTCACCTTTAAAAATTTGAAAACACAAGTGTGTTGCTTAATTTTAAGAAATGAGACATCATCGTCTTATCCGAGTGGAAAACATACTTACTACCCACGATTATGAGAAAGGATAATTTGCATCATCTCAAAGTGGAGGATATGGCTTGGATTTTAAAATAAACAAATCCTAACTCAACACCCAATTAAAAAATATCTCACTTAACTACATATCGTAGAAGTATAGTAGCTCGCATCACTACAAGGATTGACAAGAGTCTAATCTTTTGAGAAATTTTTTTAAAGCAAAAGAACAAAGTGGAAAAATAGTTTGAATGAGATTGATTGAATTTTAGTCTTCTCACAAAAATGCCAATGTATTATTAAGGTAATTAGAATTTGATTAAGAAAATGTTTTGAAAATGAATGGACCAAAGTCCAAGTTTATTACGAAAGCGATTCAAGTTTAGAAACAAGAAGGATTTTCAAAAGGAGGAAGAAGATTTTTTTGAAATTAAAGAAGATTGGAGGAAGTGAAGGGACTATCCTAAAGCATAAGGTAAAAGCTAAGGAAAAGAACCGTCTAACCAACAAGAAGCCAACACTTGACACAATGAGTCAATGTAGAATTCCCATCCTTTGGATTTGAAACCAAAAAAACAAAGATAATAAACCTCTTAAGAAAACCAAGCACCCATTGCATTAAGTCTTCATAAAAAATTGGGCAGAGTAACAGCTGTATACAGATGGATTTATGATCATAGACAACGCATGTAATCATAATAACTAGCATACAAAGAAAACAAACAACCCAATGTCTTGGGGTAAACCCCAAGAACTCCAGACAAAATAACAGTTGTAGTCATAAGGTCTCAAGGTAGGTCAAGGTCTCTAATCCTAAGTCCAAGAAGTTCATCACTCCATAATGCCAAGGATAGTAACCAGGTAGTCCAAGTAACATTAAAGCCTTTTATTGTTCAAGTTGATTATTAGGTATCTTCAAAAAGAAATGAAAAGCTCAAGGGAGCAAAATAAAAATGACATAAAAGTAAATGCTCAAATGAGCATAAATGTAAAAGCATGAAATGTAAATGCTAAAATAAATGTGCTTAAAGTAAAAGCATAAAGTAACGGCACAAGATAAAGTCAATTTTTAGAAATTGGAGGTTAGTTGAATGACTATCTTGAAACTTTCATTTGAAACTTATTAGAAGATTGATAAAATCAAAGCCTCTCAACAACAAGTTTTATTTTCTTTTTGTCAAGTATATCATTCATTTAAAATTCTCAAGGCAACAATGAATGATCAACGATGTTTAAGTGATTCACTTTGACCAAAGCTTACGAAGATTCATTAGAGGATTGATAAGACCAAAGCCTCCAAAAAATGAAACTCAAGGTTATTGGGTCAAAGGATTCAAATCAGCATACTTGGGCTTACAAACATAGGTTTGGGCCACGAATGATAATTTCTCGAATCGGGACAAAATTTAGCGCTATGTTAAGCAATCGTAAGTGGACTTATATAGAAGTGGCACCTATTTTGAGGCCGGTCAATAGCAATTTACGTGTCATATATTTAGAGAGATAATATGTATATCATCCTCAAACATCATGTGACACAATAAGAACAGGATGATATGAAGAGGGATGGGATAAGAACAAAACCACATTTGAACCAAAAATTTAATCAAACCATCATTAAAATCATCCATCCATTTTGGTGGAGTTAAACTCAACACCCAAAATCCAATGATGTTAATGAAGCTCATAATCAAAATCTCATAGTCCAAGATCAAGCAGAATATATGCAAAATAAAATTGTATTTAAAAATAAAGAAAAATATTTTTTTAAATGGTTTTAAAATGGAAATAAAAGGGGAAAATTGAAACTATATTCGAAATATCCAAGAAAAATTAAATAAGACCGTAGAAAAATCAGAAATGAGCTCAAATATGTATATGAATTGTTTCGTAATTTTTTTAAGTCAGAAAATATTTTTAAACTAATTTAAATTGCTCAAAAAAGTGAAAAAATATCAAAAATAGTAAATGTCAAAATAAAATTCTAAAAAAAATTCAGAAAGTCAGAAACAATGAAAATGAGTTTTATAAAAAGTTTCGGAATTTAAAAATGTCAAAAAGTATATTTTAATCAATTAAAATAAAGCAAACAAAGCAGAAAATTATGAACAATATTAAACAGTAAAATAAAAATATGAAAAAATATTCACAAAGTCATAAATAATTCAAAGTATTTTTGTATATTTTTTTTATAATTTTTGGATATAAAATAAAAGAGTTATGAATTTTTGAAATATAAACAAATTTAAAAAAAAAATTATAAAAATAAATAAATCAAAAATAATGTGAGGCGTTGGATCCAAATCACTAAAACACGTTGGCACATCAAGTGTCTCAGAAACGAAGATGTATAATGATCCCTGGTCAACAAACGCGTACTGAAGTCACGAAAGACAGGCCAATCACAACATTTTAATTGTCACGCTTTTATTAGGTTAAGAGGCCACGTAGGTCATCTTTAACCTCTAGCTACCCTACAACTAGGGCAAAATCATAATTCTTAAATTTGTAAATTTAGACGCTCATAGTGGTATCATTAGACGCGTCTCTTCAAGATGATCACAATCATATCCTCGCACCAAATTTATATAAAACAAAAGATCAGAGATGTTTTGAAAATTTTGAAATCGAAAACAAAAGTATCAAACACATTGATTCACCAAAATTCAGTTAATAGAAAGCATCAGTGAACATCATAGACCATTCTAGCAGTTTGAGTTAGAAGATTTGATGCCTTAAACTACCTGAACAAAGTCAGATGAAGTTGCTCTGTAAATGGATTTGGCTAGCACGATTTCGGGCACCTCAACGCTTGATTCTTCTTCTGTTAGCTTCAGGGAAATTCAAGGATGAAAGATCAATGAAGAAATTGAGTTGAGAAGTGGAGAAAATAGGAATTCAAAATCTCAGAAAAGGGTGTTATGGAGGGAGTTTGACAGAGTGATTTTGGCTCTTCAAGCTTGAGAAAATGAATGAGGTATGATGAAATTTGGAGGGAATTCGTGTGAACCTGATACATGAGGAGTGTGTGACCTATTTAGCATCAAAACTCACTGAATCCTTGCGTTTCAAGGCTCAAATACACTTTGGCAAGTTGGTTAGACATGCTTAGACCAAAAACATATGCCAATTTGATATTTAGAAGCGACACAATGAATTTCAAATTCTGACTTGAAGTGAAACTTCAGTTTCAAGGTACCATTTTTGAATCAATGGCATTCACAGCTCAAGGAATCTTAGGGAATGATTCTTGAAGCTTTACAAAGATGAGGTCACAAGCTTTACAATGTGAAAAGAATGGAATCAAGTATATGCTTGAGCTGAAAGTTGTGATGAGTCAAAGTTGAGAAAAAGTTGCTGACTTTTTTACTCAGAAAAATTTTATGTTTTTCTTCAAAAATAACATATAATATCTTGCATCCAAACATGGCCTTGAATTTAAAATTTGCTCTTGAGAAAAAAATATGGCATGAATTAGATCCCTTGAATGACATTTTGAGACATGAACCATTTAAAAAATCTAAAATTTGAGAAGGTTTTGACTTGGTGAAGTTGGTGAAAATTCATGAGATGACCTATAATCTTTTGTATCCTTAGGGAATCTTCCATTCATTTTCAAGATTTGCACATAAAATAAGAGTTTAAGTTCACATCCTTAAGATGATTATGGAAAAATAATGGGCTCTAGGAGATAAAAATTGATCATGATATGCCCTTTTGAAGTCACATAAGGGAATTTGATGGCCTATCTAGAGAACTTGTAATATTTCTTCATCATTAGGCATCTTCCACCTCAAATATTCTTGAAACTTTTGAAGTGATTTGTTGATAAACCTTTTAAGAGAAGCATGTCTTTGGAATCACTCAAAAATACCAAAAGATGAGCAAGATATAGCCCTTTAAAGTTCAAAACCCTAGCCCTTAGAGCAACAAAATACCTTGGAAACTCTTCTCAATTTTGACAAACTTTCTTGCACAAATACTTTTGTCTTGTAAATATAATTTTTTGAGGATGATAATGAGAAACCATAGCACCAAAAACAAACTCCAAATATTAAGAATTGATGGAATTATGCACTTGTGATCTAGAAATCAAGAACTTGTCCAATTAGGTCAAACTTCTTCAATCAACTTTTGTATCCTTTGACTTTCTTTGACAAATTTAGGCAATATGAATCAAAGTAGACCTTGTCATGATATTACTTCAAAGAATCTTCAATGATGAAGCTTGAATTTCAATGAAGCTTTGTTGAAGAAGGCATGAAAAATAAACTCATGAACCTATAGATCAACTTGATGGAATGTGTTGTGCTCTCACTTATAATATCATCTATTAGGGAAAACATTAATTATATTTATTAGTTAAAAGTTAATCAATATAAAACATAGATGATCACAAAATACAAGTCAATGTGCTTGGTGATTCCCCATGAGTAAAGCTAAAGATAAGGAGAAGAACCAAACCCTAGTATGATCTTGTTGTGATTGAGTTGATATGATATGATAGAGGAATCTTAGGGGGGGAAATTAGGGTACAACAAATAGGATTATACTTTTATCCACATTGGAAACACAACCCTTGTGATCTTCGCTCCATCAACTCAGCATACGGAAAGTGCTCGAGGCCACAATTGTGTTCTCCTTTATATCTCATTCATTTGTCACCTCTTGATTTGGTTGTGCTAGTGTTTGTATTCACATTGCCACTCAGATTAGATGGTGAAAAACCCATTTTACTTTGCACCGATCCACCGAAATAATTAGTAGACCCATTTCCCACTCGGGTCGAACCCGGGTTATGTTGATACCCAGAACTTGTTTTCCAACTAAGCTTGTATCCTCCTGGCCCAATACCCTTCCTATTATGGGCCCCACCAGCACCTTCTCTTGGCAACAACCACCCATACATCTCGGTCTCCATATCACGAGCGATCTTCATCGCCTGAACCTGTGAACGTAGGTTCAATGTCCGAACCCTCAAACGAATATCCGTTTTGAGTCCTCCCATAAAATATCCCAAGTACTTCTCCTTCGGTAACCTCCCTACGTGCGATGATACATATTCAAAGGTGGTGATGTATTCGTCAATAGTTCCAATCTGTTACAAATCCTTTATTTCCTCAAAAGAGTCATCGCTCTGTCTTCCCCCATATCTCTCAATTGAGGCTTGTTTTAGCTTTAGTCATGTCAAATCGTCCCCCGTCTCCCTCAACAAATTGAAAAATGGATTGTTGCTCCTTCCATGCTTCGCTTTGCAAATCTGACCTTCACCTCCTCCGATGCACCCTGAACTTGGAAATACATCTCAGCACGCGTGACCCAACCCACAGGATCGTCACCATCAAACGATGGTAACTCCACCTTCTAAACCACCATCTTATACTCTGTTACAGATTCCTTCGAGAACGTGGTTTTTTCCACATATGGTCGTCGCTCGTACAACTTCGTAAACTCACTTATCATGGTATCACGAAACTCCTACATCATCACCTCAGGAAAGTCTCTCAACTCCTGACGTAGAGAATTCTCCACCGCCGAGAGCCTTGCTTATACCATTTCCATTCGATCTGACAACTTATGTTGCATGTACAAGACAAGAATTCACAAGTACCTGTCGAAGATCCAGTAGGTCAGACCAATTATAGAACTTACAGAAAAATATAAATGAAACAATTTAAAGGGATGGTGAAATGAGGTTTTTTTATATAAATGGAAGGAAAAGTAAATAGCTAAAGTGTATAACCAAGAAGATCTCCTCCAGAGAATGCAATCTCCTAATACAATGATAGCAATAATCGTGCTTACCCCTAACAAATACTCCCCTGCTCCATATATCCTTCACTACTAACAAACTTCCTAAGAATCAGGGATTTCCTTTGCCACGTCACTAAAAAAATTATTCCCCACTTTCTTATCCCTGCGAACATAGACTCTCGAAACAGCAGGATTGATACTTTCATTTATAACATGCCCAATAGTAGTTGTTCTATTAGTGATCATCAAACAAGAAAATATGGATATAAAAGGATAATTGATGGTAGCAACCCACCAAGTATACCTCCTTACTTTAGTAAGTTGGTTTTAAGAGCTATACAAGAAGCACATTAGAATTATAATAGTGAATGTGAAATAAGCCATGTAAAGGGTATACTACCTTCATTAGGTTTGCTACATTACTTTGTTGTCGGTCTATTGGTGATTCAGCAGAATTTCTTTATGGAGATCAAAGGGACACAGTGAAGGCAGAGAATGTACTTATAGAATTAGGAGATGTTCTATATTTGGTGGTGATTCTCGACATTGTTGGAACAAAGGATTCAAGAAAGATGATTTTGTGAAAAACAAGAAGAAGAAGAGAGAGAGAGAGAGAGAGAGAGAGAGAGAGAGAGAGAGAGAGAGAGAGAGAGAGAGAGAGAGAGACAGATGATTGATGAGTTAGTTATGTGTAACTAACTATCTAAATTTAATTGTATATTGTTGCTTCTTCTTCTTACAAACACAATGGCCTTTTATATAGGCAAAATATACTCAACCCAAATACATGCTAAAAAGCCCAAATAACTACATAACAAGAATTAACCAACTAACACACACCCTTAATTCATGTTATCAAGACTTCTCATCCCAATGCCTTTCTTTAACTCTTCAAACCTCACTTTTTCAGAGGTTTGGTGAATATGTCAGCTAGTTACACTTCTGCCTTGCAATGCTTTATTTCAAGCTTCCCTTTGTTGACTTGATCCCTCAGAAAATGATTCCTTCTTTCAATGTGCTTACTTCTACCATGACACACTGGGTGATTCACAAGGTTTATAGATGACTTGTTATCAACAAACAACTTCATCTTAGACTCCATTATTATGAGTTCCTCAAGTAGCATTTTGATCCATGCTGCTTGGCATGCAGCATATGATACATCCACATATTCTGATTCGCATGATGACAAAGATACAATGCTTTTCTTCCTCAAACTCCGGGAGATTAGAGCTCCTTCGATCATGAAAATGTATCCTGCAGTACTCTTCTTTTCATCTTGATCTCCACTAAAGTATGAGTCAGTGTATCCATGAACTTCGACATATGTGTTGTTCTTCGACTTCTTTGGTAACAGCACACCATGATCAATAGTTCCCTTTATGTATCTCAACACCCTCTTTACTGAAATGAGATGACATTCTTGAGGTTTCTCCATAAATCTGCTCAACAATCCTACACTTTGGCAGATATCTGGTCTAGTATTACAAAGATACCTCAAGGATCCAATGATTTGTTTGTAAAGGGCCGAACTTACAAACTCATCATTCGATTCCTTCTTCAACTTTTCTCCAGTCTCTAATGGAGTAACAGCTTCCTTACAGTTTCTCGTATTGAACCTCTTCAGTATATCTAGAGCATACTTCATTTGATCCAAGAAAACTCCTTCTTCGACGTATTTGAATTCCATTCCCAAGAAATATGAGAGATTCCCTAAATCATACATTTTGAATTCCTGCATTAACATTGACTTTACCTTCATTACCGTAGCTTCGTCTGCTCCTGTAATGAGTAAGTCATCAACATAGAGGCATAAAATGATTCGATTGACACTTTCGACATCATTTACATACACTCCATGTTCAGAGACACACTTTGTGAAACATGCTTCGATTAAGAAGCTATCTATCCTTTTATTCCAAGCTCTAGGAGCTTGCTTCAAGCCATAGAGAGTCTTCCTTAATCTGTAAACTTTCGACTCCTACCCTTTGACGTCAAAACCTAGTGGTTGAGTAACGTAGAGTTCTTTTTCCAATGGACCATTCAAAAATGCTGACTTCACATCAAGTTGGTGCATTTTCCATCCTCTACATGCATCTATCGAAACAATAATCCTAATTGTTTCGATCCTTGCAACAGGCGCATATACTTCATCGAAGTCAATACAAGGTTTTTATAGAAAACCTCTGGCCACCAGTCTTGCCTTATACTTTGAAATCTCACCATTTGGCCTTCGTTTCACCTTGTAGATCCATGTCATGTCGATTGGTTTCTTGTTAGTTCTTTCGACAAGCTCCCAAGTATTATTCTTCTCAATGGCTCTAAGTTCTTCTTTCATGGCTTCATACCAATTCGAATTGTTCAGGGCTTCACCCAAATTAATTGGTTCTTCTTCAACCATCATCATGGCTTCTTCGATTAGGTCACCATCTGCATCAATTTCTTGATCTGGAAACCTCTCATATCCAATCAGCCTAGTCGACACAATTCTTGTTCTTGTGGATCTTCTTTCACTTTGCACAGGTGGTTCTTCATTTCAACTTGTCGAAGCTTCATTCTCTTCATGTTATTTAAACACAATTATGACTGTGTCTGATTCATGTCAAGCTGAACTTCGACTCAAATCCCATCATTTGCTTTCATCTACAAGAACATCTCTACTGATCACTAGTTTATCTTCAATTGGTGAATGCAACTTGTATACACCAATAGAATGATAACCTTTGAGCACCATGACTTCACTTTGATCATCCATCTTCTTTCTCAATTGTTCAGGTACATGCCTGAAACACATTGATCCAAAAATTCTAAGATGACTTACATTTTTCTTCGACCCTGTCTAAGCCTCATGCAGTGTCTTTTCGATCATCTTCTTTGTTGGGTATCTATTTAGAATGTATACTGTTGTCGAAGCTACTTCAGCCCAAAACCTCTTAGGCATATTCTTAGCTTTCAACATACATCTCGTCATATTCAGTACACTTCTATTCTTTCTCTCAGCTATGCCATTATGCTTAGGCATATAGGGTGCAATAAACTCATGCTATATACCTTCCTCATTGCAAAATCTAGCAAATTCAGCAGAAGTATATTCACCACCACCATTAGTTCTTAACTTCTTCAATTTGTAGCCACTTTGTTTCTCAGCATGCAACTTGAACTTCTTGAACTGTGTGAATACCTCACTCTTCCTCTCAATAAGGTAAATCCACATATGTCTGGTGAATTCACCAATAAAAGTAAGGAAATACATGTTACCTCCTTTAGAATTTACTTCAAAGGGTCCACACACATTTGAATGAACCAGGTCCAGTTTTTTCCTTGATCTTATAGGCAAATCATGTTTGAACGCCTTCCTTGCATGCTTAGTTTTACAGCATTCCTCACATATCTGCTTTGGTTCCTTCACATACGGAAACCCAAACACCATTCTTTTCTTATTGACATACATAAACTCTTGAAGTTTAGATGTCCATACACGTGATGCCATAGCCAATTCTTGTCTTCTTCTGTAGTTGAAGCAAGACATTAGTGATCTGATGTGTTAGTTTAACCCTGAACGTTTTGTTCTCCGCCAATGGTTCTTTCACTATTTTCCTCCCATCAGCCCTATATACCTTCATATAATTATTCTCCAACTTCATATTGAAGCCTTTTGCAAGTAATTGACCTACACTTATCAAGTTACTTGTCATCGAAGGTACATATAGAACTTCAGTGATAGTATCCTATCGACCATCCTTCCTGATAATCGAAATATCTCCTTTACCATATGACTTGATATGTCTTCCATTTGCAAACTTTATCACCTTTTCGACTGATTCATATAACTTGGTAAATCAGTTTTTATTGCCAGTCATGTGGTTACTACATCCTAAATCCAAATACCACATGTTATTTTTCTCAGTATTTGACTGAGTGTTCACCAGCAACAACACATCATCAGAGTCATTAATTCCATCTCGTGCATATTGAGCTTCATCACTATCTTTCGACTTTACAGCTTTTGTTCTTCGACATTCTCTAGCGTAGTGGCCAAAACCTTGACAATTGTAATATTACACATCTTTCGTGTCAACTTTCTTCCCATAATACTTGTTTCCCACACCTTTCGAATCAGTATTCTTGCTTAACTTCTCATCACCAACAAGATTATTTCGCTGCTTCAACTTCTCTTTTCCAGCT